ATATTATATTGCATGTATACTCAATATAAACGCACAAAAGGCTGTCGAAACTAATACATTTGAAGAAGCCGGTAAAGCTAAAGTACCTGTGATACACTTATTAGCTCTACCATACGTATATTTTGTTGTAGATTTAACCGTATAAATACTGCTAAAATTGATTCACGTGAAGAAGCTAGCAAAGCCAACCTATCAATCTCATGCAAAAATGCACAGGTATATAAGCACTGCTTAAATACCGCAGAAATTCAAAAAAAAAAAAACAGCTAAATTCAAAATTCGGCGCAAAAAACCAACCTCGAAGCAAATATTTTCACCCTCTTTATCACAATCAAGCCATAGGACCAGGAAATCGCAACCTCGTGCTTCAGATGCAAGATACTAGAATTAAAAAAAATGCAATGCAGTTGCTTTGATGACGAAGCTGCATTTATGACATTATGTTATTTGATTGCATTTACGGCTATTATTTGATAAATGCTTTTATTTGTTTTTTTCCCAATCCTTTCTTTTACATTTCCGATCCCCATTGATTATTTTTTGGCCCTTTTTTTTCCATGCCGTTACCCACTGTTCGGAGGGAACAAACATTTCCGGTGTCTGGGAATACATCTGGGTAGGGCGGTAGACCCGGTGGGACAACAGTCTGAACCGTGCTCCCACTTTTCCTACTATTTAAGGCCTCTTTTTCTCAGTTGGCATTTTCTTTTTCTTCATCTCGTCGACTTGGTCTACAGCGCCATCTCGACTGTCTTCGGGTTCTTTTCGCCTTCGGATTGCGATTCGCTTGAACATCATCCCATTCACATGCCATCTACTGGCACTGGGTTTCAGAACAACTTATTAACCAAAACGAGTCCCCCCAGCAAACTCGATGTTTGGCAGATAAGTCATTTTCTTTTTATTAATGCGCTAACTGCTGACTGCACATAATTCCCCGTACTCCTCTTTTCTCGTTTTATAATTAAATGCAACTAAGCATCATAAAGAACATCAACAATATGTCAGCTTGTGTGCTCCACTAGACCACGCCAAGATCAGAACCTCACTGGGCATGTTCCACATTTACTAAAAAAGCCATATTGGCCGCTCTGGACCTGTAATACTGAGCTTTATACACTCCACTTCTTTTAGT